CCCCCCCCCTCCCCCGAGGATGGAACTTATTTTGTAACTTACCGACACAAAAGCTTCAGATTTTGTCTCATTCAGCTGCAGTGTCAGTTTATTTTGAGTATCATACACTCCATAGAGTCTCTTAGACCAACTCGGAGGTATTTTATTCTTGTACCTTAATGAGCTATACAGGGCAAATATCCTTTGCAAATCCAGGACCAGGCAGCTACAGTTGTATACAATGACACCAAGCTCCTTCATCTGTGAAATTAAAAGTTGGATCATTAGTGATTTTTTTGCTGATGGATCTGTGGAGGTATGCAGCAAGAACACAACAACCTCACCTTAGGTACCCCAGTTTTCTGGGTGTCAGTTTCTTCTCATGTTAAAAGGAAGATAACGATACCTTTCTCTCACAGAAAGTACTCTGTAAGCATCAACATTCTCACATATGAATTATGAGGAAAAATAGTCCAAGTAAATACAGACAGCAGAGTACAATTAAATTCTTTAGCCTTCACATGAGTGGGCACAGTCCCACTTTTCATTTAGGTAAAGGCACATCTCCCGATCATCATAAATCTTGTTTTGCAGAGTTTTCATTAACTGTACACCCCTAGTACCTAGGGGTTTCATATACCCAGAATTTCATGCTGAATGTATTGTCTGGCTTTTGTAATCATAGCATAACCACATGCTCACTCTCTTCCCTTCCTTTGCTTTAGAACAGCTCAAGAAAGGGCCGGTGTGGGTCTGGATGCTATTGACCTCTCATTACGTGTATTTAACAATAGTTCAGCCATCTTCTAAAATAAAGCAAGAAGAAAATCTGCATGTATCTGTTGGAAAACCATATGTCAGATAAATATTTAAAGGATTCATGCTGGTTTTCTGCAGGCAAACTCTCTCAATACCATGCCTGCAAAGTCTGCCTAGCATGATGAAGAAAATAAGGGTAATATGAACTCTCCAGCATGCTTACCCTTTCACTCCAAAATATTCCCACTGGTATTATTCCCTCAGATGAGATCTCCACAGTCACACAGACTAGTTTCTGGTAAAAGCGAATCTTTCTGTAAAGCCTGTGAGAACTCTAAACCCACATTGATATCTCAGAGCTTGTTCCAGTGCAATTCTCTCTGACTGCAGATGAGAACCACTCTGCAGGAGTGGGCAGAGGGAAAGTGAAGGATAGAATTGAACCTTGACTCCTTCTGTGGTAGGTGAGCAGAAACAACAAACACCAATACTCCAGTGAGAAGGAAATTTGATAGGTGACACATTCTTCAAGTCCCCATCCTGGAAATACCACATATCTAAGAATACACAACACTGAGCTATCTTGTTCCTAAATATTTGCCAAATAGTTGCAACCACAGGAACAAGACCTAATATTATTACTACCTAAATCAGAATATTTCTGAAAGCTTCTTTAATCTGTTAGCCTGCACAACCTGAAATTTGCGGAGAGCTGGAAAAAACAGACATACTGCACTGCAGCCTTTCATTTCTGAATAAGCCAGTAAATTAATTTTGATGCTTAATATAAATATGACCAACATCCTAGCTTAATAATCTAGTTGGAATATCATCTTTAATTTTTCCCCTGGGTTCTGGTATCTTTGAGGATGCTCTTGTATTCAGCTCTAGGCTGTCCCCGTAGTCTGGGCTCTATTTGTCTCCAAATATTTTTAACTATACATTATCACTGTTTTCACCGTGTGCTGCCAATACAGCTCTCTTAATTGCCAAGCATGCCAGTGCAGAGGACTTGCAAATAGTACTCTGCTACATCTATCTGCATAATGTGGTTTAATCAGCTTTTCATGGCTGTTAGTTGATTCTGACATAATTATGTGGTTACAGTTTTCCTTTCATTTATCAGTCCCATTATTACTATTCACTTTATCCCTTCTATTAAAAGTAAAGATGAAAGGGTCCTCACTGCACACCAGAAGCTGCCAGGATTGCATCTGCATTGAGCGAGTGTCCTCACAACAGGAGTGCCTACAGTGTGTCCCCTCCCTGTGAATTAAGAGATTGCCTTTAGGCCTACGCAGTTTCTCATGCAGAGATAGGGAGGAAGCCTGGGGCACTAATGGCTTTTGTTAAATGCCACTCTTTCAGAGATCACCACCTAGCTGGAAAGCCAAACGAAGCATTAGGCACTCCAGCCTCTCCCCACGACCAGGAGCACAGAGTGGGGAACGCAGGGACCTGGCTGTGCGCGGAGCCGGCTCCTGCAGGTGCTGCCCGGCTGAGGCCCGCAGGGAACCGTGAAGGACGGGCTGCAATGAAGCCATCCACAGATGTGTCTACAGCGCAGTAATGAACCCTGCCTTCCCAAGGTGTTTCGTCTTGCAGTTGGCTTCTCAGAGCACTGATCAAAGCCTTTCCTGCTTCTGAAGATGTTGTAAGAGCTTTCCCCCATGGGGATTCCCTAATACACGATAGAGCAGGGGTCCTCCTTTCCCTCGCTGGGAAAACACAGAAATCCTCTGCTGCCTGTTTTCATTAAGCTTTTATAAATTTAAGTTCAATTTTGACTCAACCTGAACTGTAGATTCAAAGCTATAGCAAGAGGGCAGACAGTGACTCTATGATGCTTGTTGTGCAAACTGAATTATCTAAGAAACCTGTTTAAATGTCAGCCTGTCACTTTGTCATCCTCTCAGCTTAGGCGTGATACATCCCCTTGAAATGCATATACCTATGTAGTAAAACCCCACCTGTCTCCTTTCTTGTATAACAGCCCCAATAAGTTTGGAGACAAAAAAAAAACTGTTTCAGAAGCACCTTCTACACTGAGCCTGGTTTTACTGCCATACTCTGAGGAGAAACTGCTCTTCTTCCTATTAATCATTAAGCCTATAATCCTTCATAGGAGGCATAAGGGGCAGCAAAGATGTGGTAGTGACAGATTTAGTATGAAGTGGTGTGACATCTAGATAAGGGAAAAGACTTTCTCTTCCGTTTGAGAGCTGCTGTCATTAGAGACTTTTTTTTTTTTTTTTTTTTTTTTTT